ATCTTTCATTCATGCAAGAATCTAACCTTTATTAAAAAAGTATAATGATTGAAAGAAAAAACTAAATCTTGTCATGAAAAAAAAAAAAATCTAAAAAACTGTGTGCCTCAATTATTAGCAGCCCTAGAAATTCTTAACAGTGAAACCTAACTGAGGTATATTCCCATTCATATTTTATGTTTTTAGGTTCACCTGAGCAATTAGGAACACACGTAAATGGTCAGCAATGCCCTTCTGCACAGACCAACTTCCCTCAGTCATCCATCATTATGAGAGTACAGCAATGATGTGCAACAAAAGGTTGTTGAGCTGCACAATGGGAATGGCTACAAGTAAACAACTAAACAGTTACAACTGCCCATTTCTACTAACAGGGCAATAATTAAGAGGCTTAAAACAACTGGAGATGTTAGGAATCTAACAGGAAGATGATATATGCCTATACTGACCTCACATACAGTGAGGAGGACAGCTCGAGTAGACAAAGAATTTTCAAGGATCACAGATGGGGAATTGCAGACATTAGTTAGGTCCTGGGGTCACAATGTATCCCTAACTGCAATCAAACACCGCCTATATAACCTGAAGTTGTTTGGGGGGAGTTGCCAGAAGAAGCCTCTGCTGTCAAGGACCAACAAACTCTGGAATTTTCAGTAGGACCTTAGAGGTGATTTTGGTGTGGACACAAGATAGCCATGCAGAAAAGTACCCCACTGTGGGTCTGTTTTTCTTCCAAAAGCCCTGGACAATTTATTCAGATACACAGTATCACAGACTCCAACAAGTATCAACAGAACTGAATTCAAAACCTGATTGCCTCAGCCAGGAAGCTTAAACTGGACCATAGTTTAGCAGGACAGTAATCAGTGGTAGTCCAAGGAATGCCTCAAAATCAACACAAAAATTGTTCACTGACCACAGAATTAAGTTTTTGCCATGGCCAACCCTTTTCCCAGACCTAAACCTGTGGGATGAGCTGAAGAGGAAAGCCCACAAGTATGGAATCTAATGAATCTGGAGAGGTCCTGTATGGAGAAATGGTTTCAGATCCTTTGCCATGTGTTCTCCAGTCTCATTAAGCAATATAGAAGAGGACCCAGAGCTGTTATCGTTGCAAAGGGAGGCTGCACAACAATTAAAGAAGGTGTGTCAATAATTGTGGAAAGTTGATGAAAGATCAAAAGGATCAGCAATAAAGAATTTATCAGGGGTTCCAATATTTGTGGAGGGCTCTTAAAAGCACAGTAACAAAATTAGCTTGTTAAATTCTAAAGAATAAAGAGAGGCTGGAAAATCGTCCTGTAGAAATACATTACGATGAAATTTGGTTCATAAGACAACAAGTCATTAAGTGGACCTTAAAGAGGAAAACTAAAATAAAAGAAAAGTAGGATATGGGCCCTTAAATTAATGCAACTGTATTAGATGCGTAATTAACTGAATGCAGCCAATATTGCCCATGTCTAGGATGAATGTTGCTATTACCAATATTTCAGCACTGTGATGTATTGCATTGTGATGTATTATCACATGTCTAATTGTCTCTTTGTAATGCAAGGTTTCATCTCCAGCTGCACAGCCTCCTTTACTTTAACTGGAAAACGGACCAATAAGGGAAAAGGGAGGGGGAGGTGGTGAGTGTGTGCACTTCTCGGAATGGGTGCAGTGATGGCCAAAAACAATCTTCATCCAAACACAGGCGTCCTGTCAGTGTCACTCAGGAGAAAGGCCCAAACTGGAAAAGACTGAGAGAATAAAACACTGTGTGCGTGTGTGTCACTGAGAGGATGATTGAGCATGTGTGTGTGTGCGTGCAGGAATGTGCAAGTGCACAGAGGAATCTGTGCGTATGTGTGTGGAGAAGAGTATGTGCCCGACTGCTGGTCCCCTGCCACTCCTCAGCATTGATTTAAACAAGCTGCTACTGAGGGGTGGAAGCTCACTGGCCTGAAAAAGGGTTGTGTGAGTGTTTCACTCTCTCTGTGTGTGTGTGTGTGTGTGTGTTTGTGTGTGTTTGGCCAGACCCACAGGGGGCAAACCCAATTTGATGACCTTCTAAATAGCCTCCTCCCAAATGACAGGCTCAAACTGCTGAAACTAAGCCAAAGAGACAGGCTGCTCTCAGAGACTGCAATCTGCAGTAAAGAGTTGTCTTTATGATTTATCATTTATCAATGTAACTAACAATGAGGTGACAACAACGGTATAATCATTGTTATACAAAAGCACTGGCGATTGCAATCAATTGGGACAAATGCCACTACAAACACTGCCGCACTCTGCCATTCTTTCTTTTAAAGGCCCCAAGTTCTAGGTATTAACCACTAAGTGCGAGTTACAAATTCCAAAGCAGTAGATAATTATTTTGAGTAACATGATGGGAACTTTCACAACAATTTAACTAAACTGCACTGACAAACAGAATCAAACACAACAATCACATTGCACTAAACATGTAAATCTCTGAAGTGCTTTCAAAATCAAGCATGCAGCTTCTATGCTACATCAGTCTCAGACATTCTCCCGACGTCGCAGTGCTTGATATCTAAGCTAAACTGCCCACAACCACCATGATTTTGTCAGTTCCATTTAGCACGTGCATATGTGAACAGTCTTCTGTGTTTTTTGTAAGCAGTTGCTCTATATGCTCTGACTGAACCTTTCATAGCAGTATAGACACTGGGCATTTTGCATTGTGCTGATTGCTGGGTTCATATTAGTTCTGAGTCACAGCACTACTGGACACTATAAGTACTTCATTTTAATAAAAATAAAAACACAAAATCACAAAAAATGGTGACAAAATCTTGATGGGTCTGATATTAAATAAAAATGAGCCAAAAATGATAGACTCGTTATGCCTGCACTGAAGACCTCGAAGGCCCTGCATGTTCCCCACAAGTGAAGACTCTCTTCAGCCCAAAATAACACAGTTATGATGTAGCAACACTGCTACAATTGCACCACAGATGAGCAAAGTAGTGGCTTCAGTGGGGACCGCTTTCAGTGGTGCACCGCAGGAGTGCATTATCATGCATCTGATGGAAGGCCTGTCGTCGGCCTGTTCCCCAAATTTCTGAATTTCCATCATGAAATCATTTAAAATAATAAAAGCAATGAGATTCGTCTCATCATCGCCGCAGCCAAGTGGAAAATAACTTTGCATTTCAAATGGCATTTCATAAAGCAGACAGCCTGCGCCTCTTTCGTCAGATTACTACGCTGTAACAGGCAGAATTGGAATGAGAGCAGTGTGTGAGAGCGCACGTGCAAGTACGCACACACACTTACAGAGACAGACACACACGCAGGGACATACTCAGAGAGACAAATGTGCACGCACACACCACATCAGTTGTAGCGAATAAAAGACAAAAAGGCGCGGGAGCGTGAAATCCATTTTGGTGGTTTGTGTGTTGAGCCGTCAGTCTAGCGCTGAAGAGTGCTGTCGTGCTGCTAATTAGTGGCATTATCTCTGCACTGCGCACATACTGCTCATTACACAAACTCCAGCCACATCAGCCCAGGGGGAGAAAGTGGGAAAACTGCCTTTGGTTTGGGTCAGTGTGAAGCTTGTGCAGAAGGCACACGTGTTGGTACCGGAGTTTCCTTTGTGATAATAATAGGTTAATATACTGGTTCTGATTGAAATTCTTCATAAAATGAGGTTTATCAGTATGTTACAAACACAGGCAGGTAATGCAAACAGTGCAAACAGTGCCAAATATCCTGAGGTTAGCCCGTTTAGTTAAATGGCTTAGTTAGGGATGTTTCAGTCACATTTCAATGAAAATGAAAATGCAGCAGTCCCTCATCCCCTGTTTTGGAGTCAATTACATTTCCAGTTTGTTGTTGAGGGAGCAGACAAATATGAAGACATCTGACATCTGTCTATGTCTGGTTCAGTTCTGTTAATATTCAGCTGAAACAAAAATTGTACATTTCAGACAGTTATGTGGTTCTAGTAAACAGGTAAAACTACTGCCCATCTGTTGACGGATCATACATGCTTTATTAGAAAGTTCAACCTTGCTGATGCACAGTTCAAGACTGCAGCCCACCTGCTGATGCACAACTAGTGTTACTCATTTTCAACAGTTTGTAATTGTACATTTACATAGTGGACCTATAAGGTAGGTGGACCTCATACAGTGGGTAAGAGTGGAATGGTAGATGTTTCTAATAAACTGGGTAACAAGTGTAGGAGCCACTGCAAGCCAATGGTCATCAACCCTATTTCTGTCTCCCAACTACATGTCAAAACTTCAGAGACAGCCAACTTTTCAAAATGTTTTAATACGAATAAGTTTCTTTGTTGCTTTGGCATAATATATGTAAAAATTGTCATCAAATCATTATTTAGGAAAAACGACTTTTCATACAAAGAAAGACACTTTCATGTAACAGTCAAGATCATGAAATTTTTGCTGATGATTAAGGGCATGTAAATAAATGATTAACAGTTATTTGTCTTTTTTGTTTATTGTATGTAACTATTAAAGAACAAGCCTAAAGTGGTCAAACTAGCTGATTTTGCTCCCTAGCTGTCGATACTTAGCGGCCAAGTGATGACAAACAAAGCTTGAGCTCCAATGCACTAAAATTAAAAGGTGTTCCTAGTTAGAACATCTGTTGTTATTGAATTTCAGAATTACAAACTTGGAAGGAAAGCAAAGTGTCCTCAAACATTCAAATGGGTAGCGTACATTTAAAAAGACTTGCAACCCTGCAAAACATGATTAGCTGATTCAGGTGTGTTAGATTTGTGTTGGAGATAAGCTCTGCAGGAAAACAGATTGAACACAGAGTTGGTAAACACTGATGTATTCTATTTGGCTTGCACGTTTCTTGTGAAAGTACTTTTTGTGAGTGGGTTTCTGCTGGAATAGACTAAGTGAGAACACTGGAAATGGCCCAGACATCTCATGGGAAAATAAAAGAACAGCAAGTCAGCCCCACACCATAGCACACAAACAAAACCATGAAGTTAGATCCCATACCACAAACATGGCTCTGAAGTTGCTGAGGTCCGTGAACAGCTCCTCGACTGAGGTCTTCTTAGGATCGATGGCGAAGTACTCCACCATGTTCTGGTACAGCGTGCCCATATTTCCATGCATGATGACCAGCTTCTGGTACTGCTCCCTTGCCTGCATGGAGAAGCTGTGAGGCACTGCAGTTAAGGATTTAAATGTACGTTTGTTCATGTGAAAAGATAATGCTTCATAAATTACTGCTCCAACAGCAATGCACTAGTGATGGAATGCTAGAGTGAAAAATTCATAAACGACTCTTTATGAATTGCAGGAGTGATGGCAATTACCTGGGAGATGAAATATCTCAGGAATTCATCATTATAATCTGATGTACTAGCACCTCTACAGATTGAACGCCATCAGTTCCACCAGTTCTTCCATGTTAGCAATTTGGCCGACTATATGATATTATGATGATATGCAAATTCTCTGAAACTGAGAAGCAGAGCAAAAAAAGAGGCCCTAATAACTCTTGTTTTCATACAGACATAATGTGTTAGCAAAGTTTTAAATCCAATTAAAACCCTGTACCGTGAACATGAGCCTGTGTGTGCCTGCACATGCCTGTGTATGAATGAGGAGACCTTCAGCGAAAGCCATAATTCATACCAGGTTTGTGCCCACGTGCAGGACACGGGAGCCGCATTTGCATTTCTCTCAACACAAACGTAATTAAGGACGTTACAAATGAAATGGTCGGGGTTTGAAGCAAACTCGCCAGAAAGCGTGTTCATCACCCAAGACAACTTTATGTGGACATAAATTACACCAAGTGGTAAAGCTTCACTTAACACATTGCTAACATGCTGTATTCATTTATAGCAATGTTCCTTTTAGCCCGCTACATTTCACAGCTCCACAGCCACTTAGATCACTTATTAAGCACTATTAGACGAGTTTGAAAGGCAATTGACCTCATGCAGAGACACACACATGCACACACACACACACACACGCACACACACACGCACACACACACGCACACACACACGCACACACGCTCTCAGAGGTTTATTAACTCCAAAAGAGTGTGATGAAAACACAGCCTTGGCTTGGGAAGAGAGGAGGGAGAAAAAAAAATCTTTGAAGAAGATCAAAGTTTCCCCTCTCACAATAGCGAGCGAATAGGTAGCCATCCACATAAAGGGACAGAGGGAGAGAAATCAATGGCCAGTGGGGGGAAAAAAGAGATAAAACAGAAAAGACACACAGGGAGGGAAAAAAATCTTTGCCTGACTCAATGGCAGAAGAAATGTCAGGGAACAAAATGTATATTTCCGATTAGCTTTGCCCTACGTCTAAAGGATGTACAGTTATGAAAGAGAGTAGAATGAAAGAACAAATATGAAATTGAGCATGAAGCTCAATCAAGTGCACAAGAATAGAGCTGTGTAATGTCAGCATCTTCAGCATACAATATGTACTACAATGCAAACACACCAGATGACATACTAGACATAGAACAAACATTTTGGTCAACATTTACCTTTTACATTTACAATGTGTTTTAAAGACTACAGTTTAAAAAATGAATAAATAAATAGATAAAATAGATAAATAATTAAATTTTGGTGAGAATGATGACCTACAATAAGGTTGGGGGGGTGATGATAACCTAAAACAAGTTTGAGGGGAAAGAGGATAATCTTTAGTTTAAAAAAATACAAGAATGATGAATGATTAGTCTTGGGGAGCTTCTAAAAACTACAGTACGGCTCAAAAGTCAGAGACCACCCTTCATTCAAGTTCCAGGTAACGGCCTTTAAGAACAAGTTATTCATTTTGTCAGAGAAAAGAAGAGTAGAAAACAAATTCAACAGAAAACTACACAGAATCCTTAACAAATAAATATATGATAACATTCTTCAGTAACACCTTTATTACAGCTTAAATTCTTTTCAGGGGACTTGCTTTCAGTTTTTCAAAGAAATCTACAGAGACATTTTTCCACACCTTTAAGGTTCAGTCTTAGAAGTTGGTTGCATTTTCTGTAAGTAATCCCCATATTCAAGGATGCTGAGGTGGTCTGGGGTGGTCAGTCGATTGTTTTGAGATCACAAGCAGCTTCTTTCTTTGATTTGCAAATTTAATTTGCTTCTTATTTGTCTATTTCCTTTTTCAGTAATGGCTACACATCCATTCAGGCTCGTAGTGCTGAGTTGTCTTCTCACAGTGGAAGGATAGATAGAAATATCTTTGGATTTTTTCATATTTAAAGCAAGAGTGGAGGTTTATTCTCTCCTATGGCTCAAAGAAGAAAGCTTTAAGTACTGTTTATCTGCCGACAGTTTTGGTGGTCAACCAGGTCTTGCACGATTGTTGGGAGTCCCACTTTCTTTGTACCTTTTAATCATTTTTTTTTAACTCCAGTTTTTTTTAACTCCTGTTTTTTTCCCCACTTATCTTATTGCTTCTCTTCAGCAATATCCTGAATAATTAACAATTTGTACTTAATGGCTGTTTAGACAGGAAATAAATGAAGTATAGTCTCTGACTTTTGCACAAGTATACATATTTTGGGTGTGGTTCACTCTGGGGTGCTGGTCAGAGCACAGAGAGGCAGAGGAGTGAACTTTAAGCACTTCCAATCTGCCCTGCACTAAGGACACACCTGCATGCACACACTAGCGCACTGATAAATGTGTATCCCCTTAGTATTCAGTAGATCATACATCAGAGTTATTAAACTGCCTACAATTAGTGCGCTTCAGCTTTGCATATAAACCACTCACGCCTTAAGTCATATGCAATATTGACAAACTGTTGCATCTGATCCACTTAAAGAGGCGCTTTGTAATAATGTAAAAGACTATGTGTGTATGTGCACGCGCAATCTTGCTATGAGATTTTCTTATACGTGCTGTCACAGCAATCACCGCAGACATTTCACAGTGTTGGCACTTTACAAAGTTAAACAATAAAGCAAATAAAGTATGAGGGAAGCCTAGTCAAAACTCTTGCAGTCGAAAATATTACTCATGAAAGCTTGTATGATGCTGTAAGTCTGTAAATAAAACAACCATCATAAGTTATCTAAATCTTTGATATGTACTGTTAGATATATTTCCAAACACCTTTTTTTACCCTCTCTTTCAAACTCTCTCTTCCCCTCTTACTCTAACATGAAAGTGAGAGAGACTGGGTCTAATCCTAGCTGTGAGGTCAGGACTGCCTGTGAAAAGATTGAGTTTTTTTTTTTTTTTTTCTTTAAGTGTCACTGCTAATATCCCCCGACTTTGATGTTGTCTTAAATAGTAATCCTGTTTGGTGCTATGGCCTTGCACAACCCTCTCTCTCACATCTCATCACAACATAAAACTTACTGTGTGTTTGGATGTGAGTGTATGTGAGATGCTGCAGCTAAGTGTTTAAGAGGGTGTGTGGGTGTTGGTGATAGCATGCTGTGCGTGGATCTCGTGGGTGTGAGTGTATGTGCTGGCTGCAGGGTGAATCGAGTGCTAGTCTGTTTGACTCGGCCACCACACCAGCCAAACCTTGTGAAAAACGTCAGTGCCACATATAGACCTGTAGTCTGCACAGCCGGGTCTCTTTCTTTATCTCTCTCACTCCCTCTCTCTCTTTCTCACTTACATTTAAGCAAGCAAACAAGTAAGCTAATGCAACACAGTCAATTATGCTAACTCAGACTGATAAAGGGGAACAGTTGTGTTTTTAGTGTCAGAAGGTGCTGCACCATGTGTTAGAGAAAACAGCTTTTTTGCCATCAAAGCCACTTCAGAGACAATCATTTTTTAAACTTTTCAGCAGCTAAAGCAGTGTTGGCTCAGTTACAGGCAGCCTTAGCTTGGGTTTTCTGTTTCTGTCGAGTGTCCTCGGAAAGAGTTTCAGTATGGATACAATGCTGTTCAAAAGTCCAAACTTTAAATCCCTCTTGAAATCTTCTAGCTCTAAATGTTTTGAATGCACACAAATGTTTCTCAGTTTATTTACAGCAGCAGCAATTTTTTACATTTTTTTAATTGTTACCTCAGTCAAATCGTAGCTTTCAGTGGACAGAGGATGTATGCAATTCAACAGCATATACAGATAAGTTGACTGATTGGTAGTAAAAACATTTGTTAATATCAAAGAAATCATAACTCTTTACAAGTATAAATGACTCCTAGTACACCCATGGTAGGTGAGGGGGGGGCCTGAATATAGGTTCTACAATAAAATGGTCATCATTCAATACTTTCCCAAGTTTTTTCTTACATTTGTTCTTGAGAAAGGCCACCTTATTCTGGTTTGGAATCACTTCTGATCAAACCCCGAACTGCAAAATTCGCTTCTGATTGTGAAAATTTTTCAGGAGGTGCAAACTGGTGCAAAATCAGGATACAAATTGCGCATGCCAGGTTTAAGGTTTCACCCTGTTTCATCTTGTTTGTGAGTTCAAATCCCATTTATATCATAACATCATAACTAAAAGCATAACTGACCATGTTTAAATGGCTGTAGGAACAGCAGTTTTTAAAAATATGGCACTACCGTTTTGCTGGCGCAATGTATCTGCTCCTACTTCAAACGTAAAACAAAAGTAAGCATACTACATAAATATACTATATTGCATATCATGAAAACATCTATTGCTATACAAGTATAGCAACGTTATAGTTTTTATGTATGTGCCCACTACATGTAAAACTAATCCCACTCAAATAGGGCTGAACACCTCACTGGATGTTCTCCACTATGTTTTTAGACACTGCTACAAAATGGCAGACTCCCAAAATAATGCACTACATGGTGAATAGGATCATTGTTTTGGACATAGCCTGTGTATAAGGGGAATATCTCTGAAAATAGAAGGCAGGAGAAGGAAAGAGGAGCAAGTGACCTGTCAGCAGCAGCCATTCTCTGCTCATTAGTGGGGTTTATAAATAGTGACCGCTCATCAAGCACACGTTTACGACACATACTGCCCTTTTCTAGAGCCACACATACTGACCGTTTCACCCCAGCACATCTTTGCACACTAAAACTTACACATTCCTACCCTGAAAACCTGAGGAGCAATGCTTATATCACCCCGGCTCTGACACTGACACTCAAACACACCCACACACTCAGCCCAGAACACTCACCACCTGCCAAGCTCTGCTCAAAGCACACACGCCTCTCTCACCCACTCACTCACTCACTCACAAACTGACAAGATGTGCATCTTTTCTCATCGCAATACAAGACACTCACCACACGCACCTCATGTAGCCTTTATCCAGCTACATTCCAGTTCATATCTGAAATACATGTACTCCACCAGCAGGTCAAAATGAGATCTCAGGTCAGTGAGAGACTGAACTAAAAGCAAGGCAGAGCACCTACTGGACTTGGTGGCTTCCTTCAGATTTCTTTGTATCTTAATTTTCATCTACTATGTTCTTACATAACCATTTTCCAACCTCTGTTTATCCCTTAGAATTGAACAGGTTTTTTTTTTGTTACTGTAACTTTGGTTTATATAAATGAGCTGTTTTCTAATTGGAAACCCTGCATTGTGTACTAAGTAGGGTGAAATACCAAAAATTATTGCAATCGCTCATTGAGGAACATTGTTTATTTTGGTTGACACATTAGCTGTGTCCCAATTCAGGGGCTGCATCCTTCAGAGGCCGCATTTGAAGGCCGATTGCGTCACAGCGGCGTGACTAGGCTGTCCCATTTCAAAGACTCCTTCATATGCAACTGACAAATGTGTCCTTCTTTTCCATGGCAATGAAGGATCCAACGGGTGGATCATTCGCCAGCCAACATATCCCGAGGTTCACTGCGTGCTGATGAGGATTCGAGAACATGAAAGTATTGGGTTTAAACTGAGTCGAATAGTGAAAGATACAAATGTTAAAAAGTGGTCTCAACAAAATGTAGGAGCAAGGAGCAGACACAGAGATGCATCTCCAGCTCTAATAAACGAAAAAATAAAAAACTAAAATCAACTAAAATCTGGCTCCATCTTTAAAGAACTTTAAAAGAACTTGACAGAAGCATGACTGTGACACAAACAGGAAATCTGCCGTAGGGCAGACTGTCTCATTTCAGTTCAGCCTTCACGGGTCTACGCAGCCTTCGATGGACATGCCTTCGTACACCGCGTCCTTCGAAGGATGCAGCCCCTGAATTGGGACTCAGCTGTTTTTTTCCCAAAGTGGCAAACCTCAAGCCATTCTTGCTTATATAGGACTAGGCCTTTCCTGGACATGTCCCTTTTTACTCAGACATGATTGAACACCTGTTTAAGATCTTTTTTAAATATTCCAACTTTTTGTTTTTACAAAAAACTATGAAGTTGATAATGATAAAGATAGCACATTAAATATATTTGTACTGTTTTTGTTTAAATACAGGTCAACATTCCCAACTCTGTGAATATATTGCACACATGAATTTATGAATTTTTTAACTTTTTTTTTTTAACTCTTAGCCACTTGATCTCCAGAAAGAAAGATGACATAGCACTGGTCTAACCTTGCTGTAAGTAAATCACAGAATGCTTATGATCTGTAGGCAGCCTTAGATGCATACAGATGTACGCGCACACAGTCTGTCAGGATAGAGTGCTGATCTGTTCAGTAATGGGTTGAGGCACGAGTTGGACAGCTAGTGGAACTGCGATTGACACACACATTAGTTTTAAAACTACTCCAAATGAGACTGAGATGAGATACTAAAATGTGAAAATGAATGTTCTACAGGAGAGAAAGAAAAAAAAGGTCTAATTTTACTGTGAGGTCATCCTCTCAAGTGAGACGAAGGGTGTTAAGACCACCTCTCTTTTAAGTCCTTTCTTTTGCCTTTTTTAGTGAGGCCACAATTGTGGAAGACAGAATGGATGAGAGCAAGGTAGTGTGACAACAACAGAGAAGAGAAAGAAAGAGACAGAAGAACAAGCAAAAGTTCAAGCAAGAGAGGAAGAGAAGAGAAAGGAGAATGCAAGCTCTAAGGGCATCAACACTGCAACAGGGAAACACCATCAGCACATCAATCATACACACATACACGCACTCAGAGAGACCATGCAGTGTACCCTTGGCCAGTAGGATAATGACCTCCCCAGACAGCCTGCAGTCCAGTTCAGGTCAAAGAGGAGGGGAGGGGGAAGGAGCCAGGGTGAAGCAGAGCAGAGGCTATAGTTCTGACTATTCACTAACTCTCAAATACTACACTATTGTCTGGATATATTCAGCATCAGAGTTAGAGTTTTGATACTGTATAATTTGTTAGCTACCCTGTTCTTCAGTGGTCAGGACCCCCATGGACCCTCACAGAGCAAGTCCTATTTGGGTGGTGAATCATTCTCAGCACTGCAGTAACACTGATGTGGTGGTGGTGTGTTGTGTGTTGTGCTGGTACGAGTGGATCAGACCACTGGTCAGACCGCTGGTACGAGTGGACCACTGAAGAACAGGGTAAAAGGGGGCTAACAAAGTATGCAGAGAAACAGATGGACTACAGTCTGTAATTGTAGAATTACAAAGTGCACCTATATAGTAAGTGAAGCTGATAAAAAGGACAATGAGCGCAGAAACAAGGATGCCTGATCCGTGTATCATTGTTATTATTATTATTATTATTATTATTAGCAGGAGTAGTAGTAGTAATAGTAGTAGTGGTATGACTACATTACACAAAAACAAACTATAAAAAAAAAAAAAGAAAGAAAAAAAAGATATATACACATTGTGTTGCCAAAAGTCTTTAAACTTCAGGACAGAAGAAACCAAAAGTGCTGGAGCAGGACAGCAGTCAGAACAGAGAGAATGAAGAGACAGGCAGGCCGACAGACAGACAGCTGTGGATGGATGGAGGGTGGAAATGCAGAGTGAAACTCCATTATTGAACAGACACCTGCCTGAAGCCTGAAGCGTGGCCTGCTGACACTCGTAGTGAATAATTAAAATGCACACACTAGCTGTCTTACACACTGATCTGCGCTCTGATTTGACAGTGTGAGTGAGTGTGTTGCAATGTACGCAAGTGTGTGTGTGTGCGCGTGTGGAGCAGTTCTCAAAACAGAGTGTAAGTATATATTGTTAGTGCAGGGAACAATTTTTGGAACACGTTTTTGGAACAAGAACAGAAGAGTTCTCTTCTGAGAGAGAGCAGAGAGTGTGTGTACAGGGTAAAGGATATAGCCATCTTGCTGTGGAACAGGTCTTGCTGGTCGATGGGGGAGCTGAAGGTGTCCAGATCTTTCTCCAGCTGCAGCAGCTGCTTCTCCATCTGCCTCAGAGTCTTCTCCAGGTTCTCCGCTGATACTACACACACAGAGAGATATGTTTTTATTAGACTGCAGCAACTGACATATCTAGCATAGTTCCTTGGTGAGAAGAAAGCTAAAAATTTTTCTGAAAAAACCTTTTATGAAAATGAATTCCACATACTTGTATTATAATTTAATAATTTAATAATATTATATAATTTTTGTATTGCTAGCACAAATGACCCACTTACACTTACTGTACCTGCTACATTATTTGACTGGACTGACTGAGTAATGGGTCTTTAAAGTAGGGTGGCCTAAACATTGGGGTCACACTGAGTTTTATCTAAAGGCAGAAAAACATGAGGTACACTGCAAAGTCTTTTTTTTATTACAGGTTCAGGTTGCTTGTGGCTGTGCGTCTTAACTGTTTCTAAGCAACAATAGCATCATAACTGCAACATAAGGCTAGAGGCTTACCCTCAATAGAACCAAAATGTAGAAGCAAGCAAAGGAATACATTTGAAAACATGTTTTTTGGTTAAAAAAAAAAAGCTGAGGGAAACTGGTAGTAATGGAGGAACAGAAGCTGACTTTTCAGATCTGAGCTAAATCTATACCTAACTGGTACAACACCAGATGCTGATGAGGACTCGTTGTCTTCTACACAAGGTATTTCCTCCTCATTGGATGATGTGGCAACATGTTAGTTGGTCAGAGAAATATATTTCCACTGTTTCAGGTAGAGCGGTTAGCACAGTTAGCGATAATGCTACAGTTGCTTCTCAATCATGTCTTTCACAATGAGTTCCTGGCAATGTGTTCATGTTAAGCCACTTGTGTTTCGGAACAGCAAAGTATAATATACAAACTTACTCACAAATACTAGTAAAGTATGGGTAGTTATGTCAGTGTGTGTTGCGCTGGTCTGAGTGGATCAGACACAGCAGTGCTGCTGGAGTTTTTAAACACCTCAGTGTCACTGCTGGACTGAGAATAGTCCACCAACCAAAAGTATCCAGCCAACATCGTCCTGTGGGCAGTGTCCTGTGATCACTGATGAAGGACTAGAGGATGACCAACACAAACTGTGCAGCAGCAGATGAGCTATCGTCTCTGACTTTACATCTACAAGGTGGACTTACAAGGTAGAAGTGTCTAATAGAGTGGACAGTGAGGGGACACAGTGTTTAAAAACTCCAGCAGCACTGCTGTGTCTGATCCACTTGTACCAGTACAACACACACTAACACATCACCACCACATCAGTGTTACTGCAGTGCTGAGAATGATCCACCACTCAAATAGTACCTGCTCTGTGAGGGTCCATATTCAAATTTCAGATGCATTATTAAACCTGTTTTTTGTAATTTTGCATTTATTTTTCTGGGATGTCTTTTTACTAAAAAAAAACATTTTTAACAACCAGTGTAAATATGAAATACATTTTTCTTGTGGAAAAGAGTAAAACCAAAACTAACAATATACAGACAACACACCTATGTCAACAATGCATTCTACAGGTCAGCAGTCCCAGCAAAAATGGCACTAAATAATGTAATCTCTCTGAATTATTTGTCATCTTTTTGTTCAAATTTTCCACCTTACCTTAAATGAAGCAGCAGGTACATTCTGGCAACTGCACAGGTGGCTAGATGTAACTGCTAGGCAAATTAAGGTGCAGTGTGAAATTCGAATATGACGTCGACTTCAGCTTCATCAAATTTCTTAAGTCATTGGCCTCATACGTGCGTCCCATACACTGAAGCATCTTATCATGAGACAGTGCTGGAATTTGAAAAATATTATAGTCATTTACGCTTCAGTATCTGCTGGTTCAGAGCTTGTTTCGTGCACAAGGCCTGAGTCTACAGTGTCGTCTGATGCAGCTGGCTGATTTATGCCGCTTCTCAGGCGGTACAAGAGAAAACACTATCACTACAACTGATCTGGTGTCCATGTTAGGCTAAGGCCAACCCTGAACTACAGGCCTAAGGTTATGTCCTCTAAAACAAAGTGGACTACTTCAGATAGAAGAGACTAGCATGGCTTGCACTGTTTATACATTACATTATCTGCACTAATTTGTGTACAACTGTTAAGACAAAACTCATACCTAAGGGGGACAGCCACACAGGGGACATTAAATAGTGAACAAAACATTGTTCCATTGAAAACAACAGAAAAAGGCATCTCCATTCTCCAAAAAACAAACAAACAAATACACACGTCAACCCAGTCTTATATACTGTCAGTCAAAACAAAAGCTGGTATCTCTAAAATGGTGATCTTAAGTTATAAGGTTTTGACTGGCAGCTACAATATTTACATATGTGGGTGAGAGTTCAAAATTAAAACCATATTACAGTTTTCTCATGTACATATGCATATGTGCACGAGTGGGTCAAGCAACAAATTCGCAAAGAAAGGGTGAAGCAAGGACAGCGTGACACCTTACTACATGGCCTAGTGAATCCTGCCCATACTGAGAACCTCAAATTAAACAGATTAAGAAAGAAAATGAAAGCAAAAAAGCGCTAAGCTGCTTAGCTCTTTAGGTAGCTTAACATGCACACAATGCAGTATGAAAAATAATTCATTACATCCAGCTAAGCAGAGGATAAGCAAACGAAACTCTATCCCACCAGGCTTCCTCACCGTGGAGTATCAGTGTACGTTCCTGCTGCATCCATAACTGGATTGCAAAAGCATTTAGGTTCTGTTTTCTACCCAGTACCTTCAGCTTCTTAATCAAAGCTGAACTGCCTATTAAAATCATATAATTACCTCATCATAGTACCACTGAGCAAATAACAGTATTTACACCTACCATTTAAGAGAGCGAGAGAGAGAGAAAGAAAAGAAAACAATTTAAAAAAGAGGACGCCATATTGTGCTAGGCCGGTACTGTTAGCCACAGTAAAGAGGAGGGGGGACAAAAAAAAAACAAAACAACAAAGCAGCACTACGCCTCAGTACCAGTCACCCCTATTTGCAAACACAAACTTTAGCTGTGATGCACATTTCTGAATATGCTGCCGCTTACCCTGGATCACTGATTACTGGAAATAAACAGAAGAGTGAAGATAACACGTGCATGTGTGTGCTGTTCCGCTAGGTGTTATAGATTTTCAGCTCGCAGGAGCCATGTGTGCAACAGCTGCTCTAATTAAGTACAGCACAACAGCAGCACCATTTCAACACCTTACACTCACTCCAACACATACATAATGCGGAAAATAAAACTCAGCACATGCATAGCACTGCATGGAAGTCAGAGATCACCCTTTGTTTATGTAATTTACAGTCAAAACAACCATTAAGAACAGGTATTCCTTTTTCTGGAGACAGACATTAGATATAAGATGCTGCAGTTGCATGAGAAGGGGAAAGTCAAGAGAAAAGTGAAAAAATAAGAATTTCCAGAAGTTCAAAGTTCAAAAACTTTTTAAAAGATACAGAGAAAAAAAATGATACAATCGTGCAAGACCTGGTAGACCACCGAAACTGTAACCATCAGATCAACAGTACTTAAAGCTTTCATCTTTGAATGATAGGAGAGAGATCTGAAAAATACCACACAGGTGTTTCTGTGAATTCTTCCACTGTGAGAAGACAACACCATGAGTGTGACAGGATGTGTAGCTATCAAGAAGCCATTACTGAGAAAGGGAAACAGACAAGAAGACAATTTGCAAATCCAACAAAGAAGCCGCTGGTGTCCACACCTTAACCTCAACGAATGGAGGGATAACTTAAATTGTGAGAAGTAGCGAATGAAACCAACTTCTAAGACTGAACTTTGGAGGTGTGGAAAAATATCCCTGCAGATTTCTGAGAAACTGAAAGCAAGCCTTTCGAAAAGAATGGAAGCTTTAATAAAGGCAAAAGGTGGACAGACTAAATACTGAAAAAAATATATTATATTTAGGCTTTTGAGTAATTTTCTGCTAAATAATTTCTTTTTTGATTTAAAAAAAATGGCTGTTTTGCCCAGAACGGAAATAAATTATAGGTGGTCTCTGACTTCTACACAGTCCTGTACATCACTAAGTGATGTCTGAAGAAATTAAACTATGAATATATCATAAAATACAGATTAGGTTGTAAAACAGAGTAAACCAATAACACACAGATTAACAAATGTTTGTTTTATTAAATTGTATCTAAACTATACACAGTTTGATTGACCTACACATTTTGTAGTGTGGTAAAAAAGTATTTGCCTTGTTCCTGATTTTCTTCATTACTGTAATTTGTCACATGCAAAACACCCAAGTGAAATAGTGATTGCTCCCTTAGTTACTGTTTTTGGTAGATTTAACTGATAATGAAATTCAGCTGATTGAACACAGCCAGGCATGAATGCAGCCTGGCTTGTTGAATGCAAACCTCACTCATACTGAAGTTTTTAGAGTGATGTCATCACCACAAAGCACAACAGGCCACGGTCAAAAGAAATCCAAAGGATATCAGTCTGGAAAAGGTTACAAAATGATTTCTAAGATTCTCGGACATCATCAAACCACAGTAAGAGCCATTATCTACAAACAAAGTGGCATTCATGGAAGAGTAACAAAGCAGAAAACACTGCTAAACAAACATCAATGCTCATCCCACATTTGCAAAAAAGCACAGTTCATAGGAATATCTTACCTACAGTGAAGCATGAAGCTGGTAGTATGAAGGTGTGGGGATGTTTTGCTGCCTTGTGACTTTGCTATCATTTAGGGAACCATGAATTATTTTCTGTATCAGATATTTTTATGGAGAGTTTGTTTATCTGTTCATGAGGTGAAGTTGAAATATATTTGGGTTATGCAGCAAGACAATGATCCAAAACAGAAAAAAACGCATCTGAGAAGATTAAAAGAAACAACATAAATGTGAGTGGTGCTGAATCTGACCCAATCCTTTGGGATTCTTTAGCAGGGTCTCAAACGAGCAGTTCATGCTTGAACACCAGCAAGTATATTTTTAATACAGCAGTTATGCAATGAAGAAAGGGCTCAAATTTCTCCACCACAATGTGAAAGGCTGATAGGAAATGGCTGG